GACTCGCGCGAGCACCCTCTCTATTCAGAAGGGCACATGCCCGAGCGATGCCAAGGCGGAGCCCCCCGCCGGACCTTCCGCCCGCAACTCGGATCCGAGACGGCGCCGACATAAATACTCGGCTTGCCCAGACGGTCCAGGGAGCTCCAAGATGGTCCCGATGGTCCGGAGTTTCTGGCGCTGGCCTCGTCACGACACACGCGCACGCGCCCGAGCGATGCCACTGCGGAGCCACCCTCCACCCGCCTCCGAGGGCCCCCGCGGACGCGGACCTGCCGCCCTGGCGGCGCGCACGCCCCCGGCCCGAGAGGGAGAGGCCGCGGCTCCAGGCCGCAGTGCTCCGCACGGAGGAAGCCAGGGCCTCCGACGCCTCGAGAAGCTCGAGGCGGAGGCGCCTCACGATCTCCGGCCTCGCCCCCGACGTCTCGAGCGGCTCGAGACCCAGACACGCGACGTCTCGAGAAGCTCGAGACCCAGACATGCGACGTCTCGAGAGACTCGAGACCCAGACATGCGACGTCCCGAGCGACTCGAGACCCAGAAACTCGAGAAACTCGAGACCCAGAACATCTTTTCCGGGCGTCCCTGGAAGCCCCGACCCTCTCCCCAAGGCCCGGCTCTCCGTCCCGAGTCGCTGCCTGTCGGCCCCGACCTCGAGGCCCGGCGAGGGGGCCCCCCGGGGCCGAAGATGGCCCCAAGACCTCCCGCCCCGATCGTTGCACGACGCCATCGTGTCTGGGCCTCCGCTCGCCGCCGATGCCGTTCCGCACGCGCCCCCGCGCGCGGGAAGGGGGCGCGTGCGAGCGGGCGGCGGCGCCGCCGCTCGGGAGGCGTCGGCGGCCGCAGGGCGCTGCACGCCCCCCCCCCCCCTCCGCGGCGCGGCATAAGAGGCGAGGGGTCGAGGCTCCGCGCGTGCGGCCGGGAGGCTGAAGCGCGGCGGCGAGCGAGGGCTCCCTCCCTCCCTCCCTCCCTCCCTTCTCCTCCCCCTCCTCCTGCTCCTCCTGCTCCTCCTCCTCCTGCTCCTCCTTCCCCCTCCTCCTCCTCCTCCTCTCCTCCTCCCCTCCTCCTCCTCCTCTCTCCTCCTCTCCTCCTCCCTCCTCCTCTCACTCCTCCTCCCCTCCTCCTCCTCCTCCTCCTCCTCCTCCTCCTCCTCCTCCTCCTCCTCCTCCTCCTCCTCCTCCTCCTCTTCGTCAGCCGTTTTGGCCCCGTTCCCCTGCGGCGCCGAGAGGGCGCGGTGGGGTGTTTTGGGCCACCGACTATCTCCTCGCGATATCGGCTGGAATCTGACGTCCTGAGTTCAGGAGTGACGATAACAAAAAGTCGGTGAAATGGGAAAAGGAAAGAAGGCGCGTGATGCTCGGAGGGCTCAGCAGGTGGGCCCTACCGATCCATGGCCGCCTTTGCCAGTGGGCCTCCAAGGTACCAAGCCGCCTGTGCCGCCGTCCAGCCCGTTCTACGGGCTGCCGCCGTGGCCTGGGCCGAGTCAGCCCACGTGGCCGCTCTGGAGCTCGCCGCCGCCGCCTCCGCCAGGTGGTCGCAGGCCAGCGAAAGGAGCTGGGAAAGGGAAAGGTGACGATCGGAAAGTGAAGTGCAGTCAGTGCCCTCGGTGGGCGTGGGTGTCCAAGCTCGAGCAGTATGGTAATACTTGCCTGTGCGGGGCGCCTTTCACGAACGAGGCCCCTCCACCAGCGGCACCACCTGTCGGCGGCGGCAAGGCAGGTGCCATCGGATCGGCCATGAGGGATCAGTTGCTGGAGCTCATCAGGTCGCAGCCCGGCAGCGTGCAGGCCAAGGCTGCGCAGAGTCTCCTGGACGCGGCCAAGGAGGAGCCGCCAACCAGTGGGACGGGCGGTGCGCCTGTCACTCAGCGCGTCACGGAGGTGACGGCACGTGTCCAGCGGGCCCAGACGTCCTTCGACAAGATTCGGGCGCAGCAGGTGCGTCTCACGATGGAGCTCGAGAAGTGCAAGGGATCGCTCGCAGAGGCGGCCAAGGCGCTCGCGATGGCGGAGAAGGAGCGGGCCGAGGTCTTCCAGACGGTGGTGCCCGCGCCTGTGCCGCCGCCTGTGGCAGGGATCGACCTGAGTTCCCTCCTGGGCGCTGATGAGAAGGAGATCTCGGAGTCCATGTTCACTGTCAACTTGGGCCCTGAGTTCGACAATTCTGATGGGGTGATGGACGAGAATGACCTTAAGGAGATCGAGTGGCGCAAGCAGCTGGTCATGAGTGCTCTGGTCGGCGCGCTCAAGACCACCTTCGGTGACTTGCAGGACACGCTGAGGCTGCATCGCGAGTCCTTGGGCGCCATGAAGGAGAAGGTTTCCAAGAAGAGGCGGCACGCGTCTCCGACGCCTGGAGGCCATGGCGAAGCCCAGGGGGTGGCGGCCGCTGGTGTCGGCACGGGGGCGCCTGCGGAGGCGGGCGCGGCGGCCCCTGTTGCGGCGTCTGGTGCTGCGGTGGTGGCCGAGGCCACGAGCCTGGGTGCAGGCGCTGGCGCGGCAGCGAAGCCCGACGACGCGGAGGCCACGAGGCTGGAGGCCGTCAGGACGCGGCTGGCGGCGGAGGCCGACACGCTGCTCAGCGCTGCCAGGGCGTCGGCGGCGGGTGGGTCAAGCCTTTAGCCTGCATGGCTCCCCTGACCTCGGCGGGCCATCCAAGGGTGGAGGTTGGGGGGCTGAGCCGCTCCCGCCGAGTACCTGTTCAAGTTCGGCCTCTTCAACTGCTACGGCTTCTGCGGGCCCTGCTGGCAGCGGCGCTGGCGCTGGTGCTGTCGCGGCGGCGGCGGCTGCCCACTGCCCAGGTCGCCTGCCCCCTGCCACGGCCATGTTCTCCCGATCCCCATCGGTCGGGGACGTTAAAGCTCTGGGCTTCGGCCTTGCGCCTTTGGGGCGGGACGAGAGTGACGTGGCAGGGGGACTCGATGGCGGCTTGGGCTCGGCGGCGGTGCGGGCTGGCGCTGGCCTCAGGCGGCTGTATGTTCGCAACTTGGGGGGCTGGGGACCAGCTGCGAAGTCCCTTGCCCAGCAGCATCGCGCGGACATCATTGTGGTTCCTGAAACTCATGTGGGGCCTGCAGGTTCGAATGATGTCCTTCATGATTGGCGGAAATCTGGATACACGGGCGTGCTCTCGGCGGCATACTCGACGGCTACGCGAGAGAAGGCAGGCGGCATCACGATGGGTGTTCGCAAACGTTTTCGAGTTTCTTCTCTTCGCCATCTGGCTGCGGCGCCTCAGGATCAGGTTGGCCTCAGGCAGCTGGACCAGGCTGAGCAGCCAGGCTTGGATTTTCGTGACATGGTGGCTATGCAGCTTCGGGCTCAGCACCAATCCCTGCTGGTCGTGGGCGTGTACATGACCACGGCGGTGGGTGCTCGGGGCAACGCTCAGAAGCTGGCCAATCTTGGGGCGTTATTGGCGACGATCCAGGGCATGTGGCTTGTCGTCGGAGATTGGAATATGACGCCGCAGGAGTTGTCCGCATCAGGGTGGCTCGAGCTTTCGCAGGGGGTCGTCGCGGTGCCGAGTAATACTTCTTACACGTGCACGGCGGGCACGGGGCGTATGCTGGATTACCTTGTTATGTCTGCATCGGCCCAGCACTTGCTCGCCTCCATCGAGGCGGACTTTGAGACGGTCGAAGAGGCAGGCAAGTCGCACTACGGTTTGGACATCTCGCTGGATTTTGATATGTCGAGAGCTATGGCGTGGACCCTTCGACGTCCTCGTGCTTTTGACCATCCTGCGCGCCCAAGAAAGCAGCCGGACCCTGACAGCAAGAGATCTAAGAAGCAGGCCGCTCGCTTGAGCCACCAGGGTGCCGAGGCGAACCCAGTCAAGATGCCCACGCCTGCAGCTTGGGGGGCCAAGCGCAAGCTTTCCATCAAGAGCCCTCCTGTTCTGCAGTATGTTCATCTGGAATTTGAGGAAGAGGATTTCTGGACCGACAATGAAGAAGACGACACTGAGGCCCCGCCTGAGGACGCTCCGATCTTGGAGGAGATCGAGGAGGTGCCCGAGGTTGAGGAATCCACCAATGCCAGTCTGCAGTGTGTTTGGTCTAGTTCGGCGAAGGATTTGTTGTGGCACAGTCTTTCGGAGCAGGTGGCACGAAGATCGGAGCCTCCAGCTTTCGTTGAACAGAGCCTTGGTTTCCAGGCCGACCCTGCTGCTGCCCGTCGACTTGGCGAAGTTTTCGCTGAGTGGTCGCACACCATGGAGTTGTATTATTGTGAGTTGTATCAGGTGCACCCTCAGGAGCGTCGCCAGTTCATGGGCAGGGGCAAGTTGCAGGAGCCAGTCAAGCAACCAATGGATGGTGGTAAGCCGTGGCCTACTACGTCTGACGCCAGTTCGCGATGGTGGTCCACGGTTGCTAGCCACTTGAACGAGCTTGCCCACGTCAGATCTGGGTCAGAAGGCCTGCCTCGAGCACAGCATCTCAGAGGACGGCTCTCGGCCCTGGCCTCGTCCATTCCTGTCTGCCAGATCGTTCCGCTGCCTGAGCGTAGGCGCGCCAGGTGGGTTCGTTCGCTCCGCACTCTGTCAGGCATCACGAGCGAGTCCTTGGCTAAACTGGCGGAGGCGGCAAGTAGAGCCGCCCATCAGGCGCAGCGCGCGGTGGCCAGGCAGCGTTTGCAGGGCTACCGCGACTGGGTCTGCCAGCACGCGATCAACGGCATGGGGGCCCTCCACCGCCTCGTGAAGGACCCGATGGCGGAGGTCAGCGAGATTCGCTATGTGGAGGTCACCACTTGTGACGGCGCCTCGCTCATGGAGGCGAAGCGGGCGGTCTGGGACAAGCTCTGGTCGCCGTCGAACTTCAGCAGCACCGACGCCATGAAGGTGCTCCAGGAGGCTCGCGCCCTGGCGCGGGAGGAGGACTTGCCTGCTCTGACGCTGGACGGCCTCGAGGCGGCATTGCTCGCAGTCTCGCCGTCCAAGGCGTCAGGCATCGACGGTGTTCGCCAGCGGGATGTTTGGTGGCTGCCTGAGGCGGGCCGCCAGCAGCTGCTGTCTCTTTTTCAGCAGGTCGAGCTCGCCGTGGCTTGGCCATGGCAGTGGCTCACAGCCATTATTGTTCTGTTGCGAAAGCCTGACGTGCGCAAGGATCGCGCCATCGGCCTTCTCACCTGGTTGGGTCGTCTGTGGAGCCGAATGCGATCTCGTCCCGCGGAGGTCTGGGCCGAGGCTCGCTCTGGCCCTTGGGACGCCGCGGTTCGAGGGAACAGTGCTCTACGGGAGGCTTTGCTCAGGTGCTATGCTGACGAGGCTGCTCTGTCGTCGGTGCTGCCTGAGTATTGTTCTGCGTCCAATCTGTGGGACGTCGAAGCCTTTTATGATACCATTCGCTGGGAAAAGGTGGTGGCCCATGCCCTCCATTTAGACTTCCCTGCTTTGTGCCTCTCCTTGGAAGCTCTCCTGCACATGGGCCCTCGGATTTTGAAAGATGCTGGGTGCGTGGCGCCTCCAATCATCCCGTCAGGGGGCCTTGTTGCAGGAGCCAGGCGTGCGCCAGATTTCGCCAAGTGTCAGATGTTTTCTATCTGTGAAATGTCGGTCGATTCGAGTTCGTTGGTACAGTTGCGGACTTGGATTGACGACGTCACCCAGAGAGCGGAGGGGATTCGCCGCGATGTTGTGGCTCACCTCGTGCGTGCGGGAATCACCTTTGCTCGTGGGTGTGCTCAGGAAGGTCTCAAGCTGGCTTCTAAATCCACCATCATTGCGTCTGATCTTGCTGTTGCTCGCGAGATCCAGGCCGGCTTAGGTGCGCAGGGAATCGTCGTCGAGGTCGCGTCGGTCGCCGCCGACTTGGGCATCGAGCGCGGGAGTGGAGCGAAGATTTCCAAGCCTCGCCACTCCAGGCGCATTGCCCAGGCGCATCGGCGTGTGAATCGCATCAATAAGCTGGCCCGAGTTGCCCCGCGTAAGGTGGGGCCTAAGCTTGTTCTCACGGGAGCCCTCCCCCAAGCCTCGTATGCTTGGAAAGTTTTCGGTGTAGCCCCCTCGGTGCTCTTGCAGTGGCGGCGGGCCCTGGCGAGCACCCTTGCGCGAGGGAATGTGGGCAGGTGCCTCACTACGATTTTGGCGTTGGAAGTGGGCCCCAAGGATCCCGCTTTCTGCTCGGTCTTTTCGCTTCTGGACTCTTGGTTTCAAATTGTTTCCAGGGTCTCGGAGCAGGCCCTCCCTCGTCTGCACAGCTGCTGGAGAGACACGGTTCATAGAATTCGGGACCTGGGACCACGGCGTCGGTGGCACAACATTCGTGGGCCCATTTCGGCCATCGTCGCCACGATGCTGGGGCTCGGCTGGCAGCTGGATGGGCCTTGGCACTGGACTGCTCCGTCGGGTGAAGAGTATGCTCTCCCTGACGAGCTCCGTACTGAGGCTTATATGACATCCGATTTCAAACAGTCTGTTGCGGACTCAATCGAAGCCCAGTTGTGGGCTGGTGCATCCAAGTTCCGCAACGGGGGTGGCTCGGAGTCAGGCATCGATTTCACTGTTGCGCGTCGTCATCTTGCTTGCCTGCGCAAAAAAGATGTCAAGCAGGCTGGCCTGCTCAGAGCTATTCTCACTGGTGCTGTCTGGACTCGCTCTCGCATTGTCAGTGCTGGAGGTGAGTGCTCCGAAGTTTGCCCCAGATGCGGTCTCAGTTCCGAGACCGATGTTCACAGATTTTGGGAGTGCCCGTGTAATGCTGAGTTCCAGGAAATCTCTGAGGCCCTCGCCAGACGAGGGGTTGCAGCGGCCGAAGAGTGTCCTGTGCTTTGGCTCCGCGGCCTCACACCCAAATCCTGGACTCACGTTCCCCCTCCTCCCGATTCGCCTCTCTCTGCCGCGTCAGGTGCCTTTCCCCATGTGGAGGGTCGTCGCATCTGGGGTGCGGGGGACGCTAGTGGGGGGGAGTTCTCGCGGGACCGTAGGCTCAGGAGGGTGTCTTGGGGCGTCGCGATTTTTGGGCTCAGTTTAGAAGAGCTCCCCCAGGCGAATGCCGTATCCAGCTTGGCCTTTCTTGCGGGGGGCGGCATCACTGGTAGGCAAAGTGTCAATCGGGGGGAGCTCTGGGCCCTTCTCAAGTTTTTGGAGCAGAGCCCAGTTGGTGCCCAGCTCGGATATATTGCCGATTCGGCCTACGTGTCCAGAGGAGTTACTCGGATCGCTGCTGGTCTGGGGGCCCGTGTGTCGAGCCACCGCGACTTGTGGGCCCGTGTGCAGGAGCTGCTTCGCGTCAGGGATTTGTACCTTGTCCGTGTGCCCAGCCACTTGTCCGTCCAAGAGGCTGGGGAGAGAGGTCTCAACCCTAGTTTTGTGTTGGCTAACGCCATTGCCGACCACATTGCGGGTGAGTTTGAAAAGGAAGTCAGAGTGCCTTTTGCTGTAAGTGCGGCTGTTAGGATGGCCGACGCTGTCACGCGTAAGGTTCAGAACCACCTTCTCAGTGTTATGAATGATGTGATGGATAAGGAGGGCAAGAGGCCCCCTCGTCCGCCTAAGATTCGTGTGCGCAATACTCGCTCGAAATTGCTCAGAGCGGCAGCGGTGAATTCAGCTCATAGTTGCCCGCAGTTCGCGGGGGATTTCGGTCAATGCCGTAAGTGTGGGTGCCGTGCCAAAGCCAGTGAGCTGACGGCCTTCCTCGGGACCCCCTGCCACCCGATGTCCTGGACGGGGGCGGTGTTTCGGCCCACGGAGGCCGTGTGTGTCCGTTCGAGGGAGGTGCGCTGCTCCCACCAGCTTTGTTTCTGGCCCGACCAGGATTTGCTCTTTTGTACTGTTTGTGGGTGCTACTCTACCAGCCAGTTGAGAGAACTGGCAACCGAATGCTCGTATAAATTAGCCAAGGCGGGAGCGCAGAACCTCAGTCGAATAGGTCGAGGGCTCCTGCCTGGATCGTGCGTTTGGGGTAGGGAGCGGCAGGAGAGGAGGGTGAGAGGGAGCGGGCAAAGAGGGGAGAGCGCCGCGGCCGCGGCCCGCCGCGCCGCGTTCAACTCGGACGTGGCGGTGGGCGCTGCCAGGCGCCGCCCCGCCTCCGCCCCCCCCCGACCCTCCGCCGCCGCCGCTCGTCCTTGACTCTTACCTCGGTCATCGGGACCTTGCCCTATATATACTCCTCCTCTTCGTCACTCCTCCTCCTCCTCCTCCTCCTTCTCCTCCTCCTCCTCCTCCTCTTCGTCACTCCTCCTCCTCCTCCTCCTCCTCCTCCTCCTCCTCCTCGGGCTGACCGCCGAGAGAGAAGGACCGCTTCGGGTTCGGAAGGGGCTCTCGATTTTCCTCGGGTCCCTCCGCGGCTGCTCTTTGGGCCCTCCTTGTGCACGCGGACTCTTCGGGGGCCAAAGATCGCAGGCCTACAGGTTGACACCAACACCAACATTGACGGTGTGCCTCCGCCGAGGGACGAAGATCCCGATCTCGGTGACGGTGGTCATTTTCTGGCTTCCAGGGAGACCGGAATATTACCACCAACACCGACATATAGGATCATGTTCCCCCTGTGGAGGCAGACCCCTGCGTTGGTGCTGGTGCCCATTTCCAGGCCTACAAAAAGAGGGGCTTCGTTCCTAGTTGATCGTTCCTACTTGATCGTTCCTACTTGATCGTTCCTACTTGATCGTTCATTGGGGGCCAAAGAGGGGCTTCGTTCCTATGTGCGTGATCGTTCCTTCTTGCAGTAGCCCGGCTGCATGTGCAGGGCTTCCATCAGGAGGGAAAAAAACACAGACACGATTAATCGTCGATTCCCCCGAAAATATGGGAAAATATGGGAAGTGGGGGGGGAAGACAAAAACCCAGAAAGTATTGGAAAACATGTGTTCTTATGTGTGTGTCCTTGGGCCCCTCGATTCCCCCTGGCGGCGGGGCCAGGCAGCGTCATGGGGCGGGCGCTGGACGACCTGGAGGTGAACGTCGACAAGGTTCGGGGCGAGGGCAGAACCGGCATGCGCTGTTCATTTCTAAGTATTCGAAAGTTCCTTGATTTTTTGGGGCCAAGATCCTTTCATTTCTGATTGTGATGACTAGGGGGGGGTGGATATCATGGCGGGGGCCATGATATTTCGCCAGATCTCATGGCGCCCCTTCTTATTCCATTACGTCCCTGGCCCCCCCGCTGGGCCGCGCACATGCCGCCAGTCATGATGTGCACCCCCTCCTCTTGGACACCCCCCTCCTGGCCGCCTCCGAAATTATTCGAAAGTTCTTTGATTTTGGGGGGCCAAGATCCTTTCATTTCTGATTGTTCTATCCTGGGTCTCTTCCTGGCCATTAGGGGGCCGGGAGCAGTTAGAAACGAGCACAATTAGGAATGAGCACGATGAGAAATGAACGACGTGGAGCTGTGCCAAGCCGCGTTCGGCAGCAAGTCATGGGAGCCTTGTATGCCCTCATGCTTCCGCCTTCGGAGATAGCGCCGATCTGGCGTAGACTCGCGTCGATTAGCGTCGGCAAGGTTCGCGTCGACAGAAGACACGATGGCGATACTCGGCGGCGGAAACCGAAGCCCACCCTTGCCGATCAACGATTCAGGACTGAGGCCACTCGTCGGGCGGCGTGGGCAGGGTTCGGACCTCCTCGAGCACGTGGCGACATCTGAGCCCTACCCTCGCCCCCCACCGGTTCAGGCGAATCGATGGCTGGTGGGGGCAGGGTTTGGATGTCGCCACCCAGATGCCCAGACGGGGTCCGAGTCGAGGGAAGAAGCGGTACCGATACCCGGACGCCCTGACTCCGGATCCGCCCTACTTTGGGGAAATTCGTAAGTAGGGCTTGGAATTTCCGCCTTACTTTTCAGGCCCCGCTGATGCCAGTTTCCGCCCTACTTTTCTGTTGCTGTTTCCGCCCTACTTCCGTGGGTTTCCGCCCTACTCTATGTTGGGTGCAGAAATTTCCGCCCTACTTTTTCGGCCTCATATAGGTGGATTTCCGACGCAATTTTAAGTTGGAAAAGAAGCCAAGGTAGGGCGGATCTGGAGTCAGGACGTGCTCGCTACGTCAAACAAAAGTCAGGGCGGAGGTTTGCGGGCCGTGTTTGGCCTCCATGGGGCCCACGCTGGGCACCGGGGCCATATCCATCACCACCCACCAAACCACCCCCACCCAACCCGAAGGCCTCAATTCTCCCTCCATTTCCAGTGGGGGGGGGTCGGGGAACGTTGAAAAAACACATGGAATTCGTACCCCCCCCAACCCGAAATTCGGGTCAAATTCGGGTCTTCGGGTTGGGTTGGGGCGGTTTGGTAGGTAGTCAATCCAACAACGCGATGGCGCGCCGGCCTTGGGGCAAGCAGCGGGATTTCGGGTGAGAAGCCGCAATCCATGAAGTACCGATACGGCTGCTCGTCCCGGAGAGTTCTCGGCGCCACGGCTGGATTCGTTTCTAAATGTTGGACAACCTGGAGGTGAAGGTCGGCACGTTTCGAAGCATGCACAGTCGGAGCGCGGGGGAGGAGAAGAAGGGGAGGGATGGAGAGAGAGGGGAGAGAGAGGAGCGGGGGAAGGTGGTGGAGGAGGAGGAGGAGTAGGAGGAAGAGGAGGAGGAGGAGGAGGAGGAAGGAATGCATGAACAGAACGTTTCGGAGGTTCGCACGGGTTTCCTGGCTCGGCGCTGGACCACCCTCTCTGGCGCGCGGAGCGCGCCAGGGTCGGCGCCAGAGGCGCCGCCAGGGGGGCCCAGCGCCGATCCAAGAAGTCCGCGCGGACCCCCGAAAGTTTCTGTTTATGTGGCGTGTTCTTGTTCCAGAGGTGCTGGCGCAGCCGCAGCTGCTGCAGCAGAGGGAGCTGTGGAAGCGGCAGGGCCTGTTCTTCGAGAACCTGCACAAGTACAAGGCGCTGCCGAGCAGCGCGAGCCTGCTGGATCGCGCGCGCGAGGCTGCCACGAAGCTGAAGGGCCTGCCGAAGATCTTCAGCGACTCCCTGAAGGCCTGGCGGCGGAAGCGTCCCCCGGACCTGACCAGGCCCCCATCCCGGGCACAGGGTCGCAGTCTACACGGTCAAGGGAGCTCTGGCTCGGCGCGTCGCGCCGCTACACCTCTGGGCCAGCAGGCCGCGGCGCGACGCGCTGATCACGCCCAGGCCCCAGGCGTCCTCGCCCCGCGCCTTTTTTTTTTCCAGCCCCCCGCCCCGCGGAGCGGAGCGGCGCGCGACCCTCGGGGGCGGCAAAGAGGGGGGTGATGACTAGGGGGGGGGGGATGTCGTGGCGGGGGCCACGATATTTCCCCAGATCTCGTGGCGCCCCTTCTTGTTCCATGACGTCCCTGGCCCCCCCGCTGGGCCGCGCACATGCCGCCGGTCAGGATGTGCCCCCCCCCCTCTTGGACACCCCCCCCTCCTGGCCGCCTCCCGAGATCCGCTCGCAGGACACGGCGTGCCGCGGGGGCCGCGGCGGCACGAGGAGCAGGAGAGGCCCCGACCCCACGGCCTCCGTGGCCAGGGCAGGGCGGCGCATATGCACCGATCTCCCCACGGGTCCTCGGAGGCCTCCGGCGGTCCCGAGAGAGCGGAGGGTCCACTGGCACAGGAGGGGCCTCGGGAGAGGGCCCCGGGTGCCCGCCCGTGGACTCCAGGAGCCTCCAGGGGCACAGCCCTCGCCCTCCCCAGAGCTCCGACGTCGTGGGCCTTTCACAGCGCGGGCCCCTGGAGATCTGGCCTGCCCTGGAATCCGACGTGGCCACAAAGTTGCACATCGCAGAAAATCGCGACCGGAGCCCTGGACCCCATCTTTCTGCGTCATTTTTCGACCTGGATCGATCTGTGAGGGTCCCGGGGCTCGAAATTGAGCGAAAACGCCCGTTGTAAAAAAGTTGCGACGCCAGGACCTCAGGGTGGACCCCTTTTCCCGAGTCGTTTAATCTGGCCCTGGGGCCGGAGCGAAGGCTGCCGGGAGCGGTGCCCGGGCCAGTGCCACGGCCGAGGTATATTCGGGAGCGGAAAAGAGGGGGGTGATGACTAGGGGGGGTGGGTATCATGGCGTCGGCCATGATATTTCCCCAGATTTCATGGCGCCTCTTCTTGTTTCATTACGTCCCTGGCCTCCCCGCTGGGCCGCGCACACGCCGCCGGTCATGAGGTGCACCCCCCCTCTTGGACACCCCCCTCTTGGCCGCTCCCGATATATATATATATATATATATATATATATATATGTATATATAGATGTATGTGTATATATATACATATGTGTATATATATGTGTGTATATATATGCATATATACATACATATATATATATGTGTATGTATAGGTATACATATATGTATATATACACATAGGTATGTGTATATATATACATACATATATGGGGCCGGAGCCGAAGCGAGAGAGCCGAAGCCAGAGCCAAGGCAGAGGCCAGGGCCAGGGCCAACACGGGGGCCGCGGCCAACCCTGGGGCCCGGCGACGGCCTCTCCAGGCCAAACGTTTAAGTCGGGCATGGCCCCCTACAGGAGGAGTATTCGAAGATAGTTAAAACATGATATGGGAACTATTGTTCTGCTATGTTTGCTACTTGTTCCACACTTTTTGGCTGTCTCTCGCCGTTCTTCCAGAATCCGCCCGTAGAAGGACATGCCCGACCTGACCGAACCGGGTCAGAATGCCGTCCGCCGCGGTTTCTCGCAAGAGGGGGTCCGGTTTTCTGGCCACGGGTCTCTGGCGGCCATTCGGGCGATCAGGGCCCCCCAGAGCGCCCTCGGCGAGGCGCAGGTGCTGGAGAGCACGCAGGGGGTGAGAACGTGCTGGGGAACCAGCGGAAGCGCCCGAGCAGGTGCTCGTCAGGGGGACCTTCCTGGGGCCCACCGAACGGATCTGTTCGACTCAAGTTCGCCTCAAGTTCGATTCAAGTTCGACTCAAGTTCGACTCAAGTTCAAGTTCGGCTCACGTTCGACTCAGGTTCGACTCAAGTTCGACTCAAGGTCGGCTCAAATCGACGGACGTGCGACGCAGCTTCGACGCACGAGT